AAATGCTGGCATCTGCGATGAGATGAGAGTCTATGGAGTATTTTATTGCCCAAAGATGGAATTAATGGCAATGCCATATCTATGTCAAACACAAGTAATAAAACTTTATGGTTTCTCCCCATGAAATATTTTGTTTATGTCACATGGGTCTGATCTAATGTTTTTTTTCCTTTTTCTTCACTTCCCCTCCCCCACTCTTTCCCTGCCCTCTTTGTCTCCCGAGGCCTATTCCCTTTGGAAATGCATTAGTTACCTAGGAAACCTTAATGTCATTTTTTTATGAGTGGAGTTTGGTGCAGCATAAAGTTAATTTATGGGGCGGTTTAGAAATTCATGTCATGACTGGTGAAACAGGAGACTTTATTAGGACTTCTATATCCACCTGTGTGGTAGAAATACATACCTTCACTCTATCATGACGAGTAATTTCTTGAAACATAATTATGAATATGCATTCTATTTCACGAAACGAGTTGATTCATTGTTGTTCAATGTAATTCATTATATTGTTCAATGTAAGCCCTAGAACATAATTAGCAATAACAACAGAGCATAATATACCAGACAATCTGTTAACAGTAGAAGTATATAGTGGAATTTCCTTTGAAATGATGAGGTGATTCTGCCTCAGAGGTAGGGAATGAATAAGATGAGATTTTGAAATCCTTTAACTCTGTCTCTCGTGTTCTTTGAAGTCCACACTGGGGAATTAAATAAATTCTAAATAAATGTATCACTTCATTTGGCTAATTTCTTTCTTTCTTTGTCCAGAGGGGTAATATACATCCATAAAGTTATATTAATTAAATGTAGATGCACACAAACAACAAATGGGCCACTCCAGAGTCAAGCTTCTGAGATCAGCCACCAGTGAAGTAGCAGGGCAAGGGCTGTCAGACCCATTGGACTAGGTACTGTGCAGTTTTAAATTAATCACTTCATTTAGTCTTCATAGCAATCCAATGATACTGGCATTATTTTCGCCAATTCCAGATAAGTTCTGGCTAGTTAAGGAACCTGTCCAAAGACACAGCTTCAAGATACATGCAGCATGGAACCCAGATTTGTTTGCTTGCAAAATCGACTCTTGATGAATTCTAGTTCCTGATCTGTTATTGTGTTTTCTAGATTTTTTTGTTAATTTATTTTGCCCCCCTTTCCCCCTATTACCCTGGAGAAAGTCACTGAAAGGATGGGGACTCAGTTTCCTCAATTATTAAACGCAGGGTGGAGACAGGGAGGCTGATGGAATTTCACCTCTAATATCCCTGCTCTGTTAGAACAAGGCTGGTCATTGGAGCAAAGCTGTGTTCTCTTAGGATGACAGTTTACAGAAGACCTGGGATGGCTGAAGAAATTCAAGACAAGTCCCTCAGTTTCCATGGACAACTGATTCCACTTAGATGGAGGTGGGGGAATAAAAAGCTTCACACATGATTCCAGAGCATTTAAAAGGAGTTGCTGAATAGCGTGACAGCCAGTGTGACTGTTGATTAATAATGCTGTAGTTAGTATGGAGGTAGTAAGGGCTGGGCAGTCAGGATGATGCAGCCTTCCCTGACCCTTAAATTCCCATTTCTAGTGCAAACACCTTTTGCATTCACTTTAATTGTTTCAGAAATGTAGACTTTCTGGCTCCCTCAGCTCTAGCAGCTGTCTGGGTGAGTGGGGGTGGGGATGGATGGGGTAGGGCAAAAGAAAAAACACATTAGCTGCCATCATTCTGCCAAGCTCTCCACAGCGCCCTCCCGCAGCAGAAGATGCAATTTGCAAATATTTTAGGATCAACGAAGGTGTGGAGTAATTTCACAGGAGAGTGGGGGGGAAAGCAATGAAAGAAGACATTCAGGCTCACTGAATAATTGGAGGCAGGGGAGAGGTATAATCAAGGTTATCTTTTCCATGTATGGTCATAGAGGAAAAGGTCCTTGGAGGCCATTTGGTCCAATTCTTTCTTTTCCTGGGTCAATACGCCACAATGAATTAACCACATGCTGCAGCTTCAAAGAGATCCCCTCCCCCATCTTATGCTGAGCTATCTGAACCCTAGACATGCACACAGTCCACTGAACTGAAACAGAATAGGTAAATGCAGTTTTTTACAAGGTAAAGCCCTAATTCATTCCAACGTTTCCATTTTCTTTCTGTTCAGTGTTTCAACCACAGAGTGGCGCTATTGCAAAAGATAAGGGTGGGCTGAAGGCACACTCTAGATATTTGTAAGAGGACAGAGTTTTAAAGGGGTCTTTCAAAAGCTAGATCTGGTTCCTGCTCTCACAAACCTCTTTAAAGAATCGGGGCCTTACACTCAATGTGGCAGAGACCTAAAAATACAGTCAACAGATGGGCGGCCAAGGCCATGACTACAGTCAGCTTAGAGAGAGACAATTACCTAGCTAATCAAAAAAAGAGTTACTCAGGATGGGGTTCCCCTCCCAGGACTGTCCACGGGGCACAATCTCCCCAGCTTCTCTTCTAATTCTTCTGTTTGATTTGGCTATCCATACTCTTTCTATAAAAAAGAAAAGCCTCTTTGTAAAAACACAAAGATGCTTAGAAGACACTGTGGTTTGCACTTCCAAAATAGCTCTGCATTACATTAATAGTCTTTTGTCTTTAAATAAATACACCTTTCTCCTTCTTTTTCCACCCACCCTCTTTTATCACCTTGCTACACTCTGCTTTTAGAAATCAAAAGGAAGAGCTAAGGGTGAGCTCTTACCCTCCTATAGAAGAGGTAATCTTTAGCTCTGAAGTGGAAAGAAATACAGGAAAGGAAAAAACAGGTTGCCGGCTCAAGGAAATCAGTCCTCTAGTGAAAAGCGCATCTTTCACTCTCTGCTCCTGCCTGGGTCTCTCACTCTTCCTCTCTCTTTCTCTAGTCCATCCCTCCACCTCCCCCTAAGACACCACACATATTTGGCAAGATTAAGGTGTCACCTCTCATATTACAAGGACTGCTGATTGCACACAGAGACAGACCCACCAGCTCCCCTGAGAAGGGAAACATTGCAAAGTCCTCCTGAGATTGTCTGGGTCCTGGCAAAGGGAAGCCACCAGCCAGTGCAAGGCATCTGCAGAACAAATCCAAGGCTGAAACTCACTGCTGCTTTTTCTTCTTTTCTTCTGATTTTTTTTTTTTCATATTTAAGCTTGCCCCTCTTCCCCTCCTCCCTCCAAACTGCCAGTGACCAAGCTGCTGGCGGATCAGTCCTCACATGTACTTAACCCGTTCCTCACTGCAACAGGAGCCAAGCAGTTCTTTTTCTCCTTGCAGTCCAGAATCGAGAAAAGAGCCCCTAGAATTCAAGCACTGGAGCTGAAACTGGGGTCTGAAACCCTCCTTTGACCACAGCAGCAAGAAGGGTGCGAAACCAGGAAGTGGGTGAGGACAAGGAGGTGGGCCAGAGGGAAGACAGAAAACCAGAGCCCCACAGAACACACAACCCAAACCTTCATGGTGCTGTATGGAGGGGTGGAGGGAAAAACCTTTTTTCCTGATCCGGAGGAAGACCTAGGTATTTTGGCACCAGGAGAGACACTGAAGGAGGATCCTATCATTCCTTCCAAGGCATTGCAGGGGAGGTGAAGCACCTGGGCCTAGGTGGCCTCTTCGGGTTGATTTTGATGTGGCAATCCCCATCAGTCTGGATAATGATGAGGCAGGTACAATCTATTTAGTACGTAGCTCCCCAACTCTCCATCCTTTCCCGTCTCCCCTCCAATCGACCCCTCAGCTTCTCTCTACTTTGGGCTCAGCCTCAACTAATAGATGCCCTACGGTTGTTTCTTGATGTTTGACCAAACTCAAACAATAACGAGAAATTTGAAATTTTTGAACCTGAACACTCGCTGAAATATAGAGTGCATTGCTTATAAGTCGCCTCCAACAGAAGGCAGAAGAAATAATACTAATTCCCCTCCCCCAATAGCTCATGAGTCAAAGGTCCTGGCAAGAGGTGATGGGAGGAGTGGCTGAGATGGAAGGGAGGAAGTGGTGGGGAGTTTGGAGATGAGGTCCCCCCACGCAAGAATTCAGGAAGGGGGCAAAAGAGCAAAACCCTACTTCCAGGCTCCCCATTTCTCCTTGGCCCCTAGGTAAAATATTTTCTCCCATTTCTCTAGGACAGCTAACAGACAAACACAAGATGAATTAACTCGGCCAATTGAGAGAGAGTAAGCCCCGAACAAGTGGGGTCTATGAATAGCTAAAATTATCTACAAATAAGAGAAGTTGCCCCCTCCCTCCGATTTTTCCTCAAGTGAATCTACCGGTGGGGAAGTGAGCGTTGCTACTTTTGGGGAGTCTGGAAGAGATTTGTTTGTTGCTTGCCTTTTCTGCTTCCCGCGCTGTTCCCGCGTGCAGAATGGTGGTGCTGGGCGGGTGCTCAGCTACAGGGCCAGATCCTAGTTTGGAAAGAAGGGGCTTACAAGTTGGAGGCTGGGTGAAATGGGAGGCTCCGATCCATCCCCCTCTTTCTTCCACACTCACGCGCGTGCGCGCGCGGACACACACACACACACACACACACACCCGCCCCCCACTTGGCCGCTCTGGCCCCCTCCCCCATACCTCTCGAACTTAACCTCCCTTGACTGCCTGCACAGAGCCCTGGGTGCTGGTCTCCAGGAGTGGCGAGTTGCGGGGGAGCAACTGTTCTTGGGCATATTCGTGTGGTTGGGTGGGGGAGGAGTGACGGGTGGGCTTGGTAGGGGGTGGGGAGAGATCTGGAGTTGGAAGGGTCTGAGGTTTGGAGGAGGAGTTTATGGTTCAGACCCGACCCGTCTGAGCAAAGGAGCAAGAAAGGCCCTTCAACCTTGTAAAGAAAATCTTAAATTAAAAAATAGACAAGAAAAAAATTAAAGAAAAAGAACAAACAAGAGAGGCTGAAGTATTAACATGTAAAATATAGTGATAAGTCAAATGTTTCGTTTTTTTTTTTTTTCCTGGATCGCTAAGAGAGAAATCAAGGGTAGTAGGTATTGAAGAATACTACTAATTTGGAAGTTCGTTTTGTTTTATTTTGTTTTAAGAGGGGCTTGGAAAAATGACATGGTCCTCGCACTGGTAGCCGGAGAGAAATCGGAGGACGCTGGGGCGCGGGCCTGGGAGGCGCACTTCAAGCGGGACGCGGGGGCGGACTCCGCGGCGCGTAAGGGGTTAAGGCGCTGAGCGCGGAGCCATCTGGCCGGGTTGGCTGGTTATAACCGCGCAGATTATGTTCACGGGACTCAGAGTTGAAGGCTCCTCTCCTTACCGAGCAGCTCTGCGCACCGCCCTGAGAGAGAGCCCGGCGCAACTTTCTTCCCCTCTTCTTTCTTTCTTCTCTCATTTTCCCTCTGCTGGGTAGTGGCTGCGGCGGGTGGGGGAGACTTTGAATGACCCAGCTCACGTCTATCTTTCTCTTCATGTCGACGTCCCTGGAAATAGTCATACGGATGCCATGGTTACTTCTGCCACGGTAAGGGGAGGCGGCGGGCACGTTGGGTGGGCAGGTCCGGGAGTGGGTGGGGGGGCACGTGTGTGGGGATTTTCCAGTGGGCCAATGCTGGGGGCCCCCAACTCTGCACCCATCCCCACCCCCATCCTACCGCAGGCACTTACTTTCTCTGGCTTGAGCCTCCCCGAAAGTTTGCGCTGGAATCTGCCCAGGCCGAGGCGCAACTACAGCCACCCCACTACAAACACACACGCACACACACACACGCACACGCACAGGCACACGCACACAGCACCCCTCCCCACCTTCTCCTCCCTCTCATCCCTTGGCTGCCCAAGAAGCCGCCCTCAGTCTGGGAAAGTGATCAGGTTTAAGGGACCAGACTTGAAAAATGGGGAGTGGAGGCGAGGGGGAAATGGGGACCCTGGAAGGGCAGGAAAGGGATTCAATAGGACTCCCCACCTCCAACACTTACAACCCCTATTCTCCTTGGAGAAAGCTCCCTGCACATCCTATAACAAAAGCGGGCAGCAGACAGACCTGGCCCGAAAGAGACGAAAATGCCGCCGCCGCGGCAGCTCCCGGCACGCGCCCTGCACCCTGTTAGCCACCGAGCGGGATTTTCATCAGGCCCTGCCACGGTGCTGGCCAGGGCGTGGGGTGGGGTCGGGGGGGCCCAAAGCTCAGAACCTGGACCTTCGCTTCCCAGTTTGTGGAGTTGGGACTCACGCCCCGCGCCACATATTTACGTTGGAGTCCCCAGAAACCTTTTCTCCAAAAGAGCCCTGGGCTCATCTTGGCCAGCTCCCACCCTAGGTCTTTGAGCAGCTGTTGGAGTTCCCGCTCTGCCCGCACATCTGGGACCCCGCCAAGGTGCGGTGAGCATCAGGGCTCGGCCATCTCTGTCCGTCTCTTCGCAGTTTCTCGGGAGCGAGCGAGTTCTAGGAACTCCAGCGCTCCGATGTGAAAGCTGGGAGACTTGGGGATCCGCGGAGCTAGGTCGGAATTACAAGAACCTACAAGAGACCAAACTGCCCCGTTGCCCCAGAACTCTATTGGATGGATTTTCCTAATGAAATTTGGCACGCTTGAGAACTGAAGGTGCAGGAAAGAAGGGCTGGGGTGGCCAAGGAGCTGGAAGGGGGATAGGGACTCTGCTTGTTGCTTTCGAGCGCGAGTGGGTGCTGGTCCAGGAGGCGCTGCTGCTTTGCGGGAATTTGCTGCGTTCCTCACTTGCGCTTCAGATACACCGCACTGAGACCCCTATGCTGAACAGAATAGGCTAGAAAGGGTCCCTCTCTTGGGAATTGAGCCGTGGGTGTGTTTCCAGGTGAGAAAAACACCCAAAAGACCATTTGGCCTCGACCTCTGGCAGCTGGTGGCAGGTTCAGAGTCAGCGTGGAAGCAGCTCCTAGGGGCGCAGCCCTAGCGAGTGCCGGCTTGGAGCTGGAGACTATGCGCCAGCGGACTTGTTTATGTGTGAGAAGAAGTGGGGACAGGGGCCTGGTGGGGGAGGGGAGGGAACATATAAGGAGTGGGTGTTACTCCCAGAGTCTGATGGAGAACCTGCTTTTTTAGTAAAAAGATGCCCTCTCCCACCCTCTAAAAAACAAGCGAGGAAAGTATGTAAGAGCACTCAGGAAGGGAGACACTTGTAACATAGAGGGAACTTTTCAATCGGTGGTTCTGTTTTCACATTTGAAATTCTACAGCTAACAGCCTGCCCCACTCCTGTCTGCAGCTCTTCCCAGACGTGCTTCACAAAGAAAGTGGAGATGTAGAATTTCGGGATAAAAATCCAACTGCTTTTGACTTGATCTCAAACACACAGACCTGGGTATGGCCTTTGGAGCAGGGGGAAGAGGAAAAGAAAAGTAGGCTCCTGTAAATAGTATGAGAGGGAATTGAAAAGTCTTTGGGCCTTTGCTGTAGGGAAAGCATGTAAGATTTTGTGTTGGTGAGGTTGAAGCTTGACTTAGAGGTTGGTTCTGGGTTTCCCAGAGTCTCTCTGTGTGAGAGTAAATATATGGGGTGGTGCTCCATCCTACTCTGCAAGGACTTGGAGGTGTGCAGTCGGGGCAGGGGCTGTTGGATGGGCATCTGTGTGCAAAGCCGGAGATGGGAGCTTGTGAGGACATAGGTGCAGCTAGTGAGAAATCCGTGCCTATAAAGAGTGTCAGAGCTGGAGGAGAGGTGCAGTGTGCTGAGGACAGATGGCTTGTGCATGCCTGCACAGACACATGGAGTGGGTGTGGTGTGGGAGGGTGGCTGTGTGTGGTGCTTGAAAGGTGGACTTGTGTGGAAGAATGGACGCCTGAGGATTACAAAAGGGATGTGGGGGGGTTATTTGAGGAGAGTAGAGTGTGAACTTTATGAGCCTGGGGTGTGGAATTTGGCTGCCATGGCATTTGTACACGTGGGGGTTAGAAAAGTATGGGCTCAGACACTCTTGATGTTGAAAGGAGGCATTGAAGGGAAGGATACTGCTTTGGTCTTTGCTTTTTTTCTCCTGCCTGCCTTCCAAAGAGAATTGGAGAAGGCTTAGAATTAGTGATTATATTTAAGGGGAACCGTGTTTGTGTGTTGGCTCAGGGTGAGGAACAGAAAGGGATGTGTACACAGGAGTAGACTGAGTGGAGGAATATGTTTTGCATGCACAGTAGTAGGTTTGCATGTTGTATAATGTCCTATAACAGCTTTCTTTTAATAGGGGCATTCACTATCACCAATTAATATTGATTATCAATTAAGATTAATGAGATGCCTACTGGATGTTCAGCCTACTTCTGGGTACTGAGGCATGGCAAACTGCCCTGGAAAAAATTCCTTCTCAGGGTTCAACTGGCTGCTGAGTTTTTCCAGGAATGGAGAGAACTCAGTGCCTGTCAAGATTTCTTCAAGGTCCATAATTCAGTTTCTAGAGATGTTTGGGGATCTTGGGGACCAAATAAAAGCTGGCTAGAAATATATGTGTGGCTTTGTAAAAAGGGGCATAAAGATAAAGGATAATATATTCTTTTGTGGGTTGGGAGGGAACTGGTGGATGCCAGTGTTTCTTGTAGGGGGAGTGTGTCTGAGAATTGGAAGGTGCTGGATTCTAAATCAGAAATGCAGGTCCTGATCCATTTGAAGATTTGAGTTTCTGAATGTGTGGTGCCTCCTTCAGAGCAGGAATGGGTCTTGGTACTTGGAGCTGGAGAAGAGTGAAATGTGCTCAGGAAAGATGCGGACAGGGAGTGTTTGTTCATCTTTGATGTTTTCTGGGCTGAATTTAAAGCATGTGTGTGTGTGTGTGTGTGTGTGTGTGTCCACCTGCAAGAACATGCAAGCTGAGGACTAAAGGAACTGGGAGAAAAATCATCAGAAGGATGGAGGGATACATATTCTGGTTCTTGTAAAGGAATTCAGTGACTATTTTTGCAGGAATTCTGTGTATATAGAGAAGAATGAAAATTGTCTTAGATGCTCAGATATGTATTTTAAGAAAAAAGGTATCGATAAAAGTGAAGCTGTATGTTTTGGAGAGTGAGGGGAAGGTGAAGCTCAGTTGAGGTCATACATTGATATAACTGGTGAGGTAACTGGGTCAGGGAAGGGAAAGAGGAGGCACATATTCACCTTTCTGGACCAAATCATAAGGTCCTTCATTTTTTTTAGGCTCTAATTATATGAGGGCAACTTTATTTGACTCATCAGATTTTTTTGACTCCATGCAATTATAACTGTGTTGTTTTGAGGTACCATCTTATCTTTTAGGAAAATTCATCTCTGTAGGAGACAGATGTTATAGGACTTGACCATTGGTCAGAAGGTCTAGTGGCAGATATTTCAGAGGACAGTGTGGTGCACTGGGAGACTCTCTGCTGGGAAGGAATGCTGTGATTTTAGTCCAGTTCTGCCAATTTGGAACTTTGAAAAGCTTTTCTCATATCTCTGACCCTCCATTTCTCTTTTTGTCCAATAGCAATGTTGATAATGACTCCATGAGAAGGCCAGTTCACTCCCCTTTTCTCCCATCAAAACTTCATGTGTTTTGTTGTACAAAGCTGTATAGTGATGAAATCTAATTGGACACATGTGCTGGCATTTTGTAAGTCATTGTGAAAATGGATTCTTTGCCTCTTCCCTTTTACAATGCAAGCCAGTAGTCCTGATGGCCACTGCGTCTCTGTTACTCACCCAGTGTGTAAACAAAGCTTTCTTTGACTGCCTTAGTTTATTCATTTTCTAACTTGGAGGCAGCCAAACCTAGATTTTTAGTTGATGGAAAGTTGCAATGTCTCCAGTCTACTCAAAAGAAGGAATCACCTACTAGTTCAGAGACATTTTCCTAGTTTTGTTTTTGAACATCAGCTAGGCAGATCACAATGACAAAACAAATGTGACTTTGAGAACAGAGAAAATAGTAATCGTCCCTGGCACAGCCATCCTTTGAATAAAAGAGAAGCAAAGTCCAGTCGCCCTGTATTACTATCAGTGTTTGTTTTCCTTTAGACTATCCGTCCTTGGCAGGCAGGAGCTGCCTGGAAAGACACAGGTCTGGCCTTTGGATTTGTGAAATGCTCATGCAAGTTGGGTACGGCCACTTTCCCTGGAGACAAAGATGGAGACACAGAGGCACTGAAACCTCCTAGTCCTCCCAGAAGTTAGCACATGCTGTCAACTCCTGGCTCAGAGTCAAGGCTCCCATCCTTGAGTTCGGTGGCCATAAATAGTCAGGAGCTAAGATATTTCCATGAGGCACTAAACCAATTCTGTTGCTTTTCTTGGCGAGATTGGACCAATTAAGTTGATTGGAAGAGGTCACTGCTGATGGGTCTCACATTCCCCAAGCGGGACAGGCCAGCAGAGTTTAATTACATAACATTTCCCATCTCTGCAGTTCTACTCCCAGATGTATCAGATGTTCAGGCCTCTCCTCTTCCCCTCCATCCAGGACGCCTAATTGAGCAGGCGGCAGCGGCTGCAGGCTTCCCCAGACCTTTTCCTGAGTAGTTATAGGGTTCCCACCTCAAATGGAGGGGATGTAAATTCATGTGCTGGCTGGAAGTGGAGGGAGGGGATTCCGCCTGACACAGAGAATCTCTAAAACCCACCACCCTGCTTCCAGACTTCGCCAGCTGCTGTTTTACTCTTTAATGAGGCAGACCATTTCTGACGATGGGGATATTGAACTAATGACCGTTGCTAGGATTTGGGATTTAGTATTTAAAATTGACTTTGTTGGAGAGGGACCAAATCTTCTACTGGAGACAAGCTTAAGACCTGTGTAGTGCTGTTGATAAGCTCTGTGTGTGTACTTTGTGCACGGACCGGCATGTACAGAGAAAGGAGAGACCCTGTGTGTTTGTGTGTACACACACGCTGAGGGACACATGAGCCCAGGAGTTGTCCTGGGTGGGCATGAGGTGTTTGCAGAACTTATGTTATGGGTGACAGGTAGGGCATCTGGCTCATACTGGATTGTTGTATTGCTTCTTGCAGGTCAGCCACCTCATGAAAAATTTGGGAGCAGCTTTTTTGAAATCATTTGTATATGGGGATTTTGAGCTTTTAAAGATGAGGCCAGTGTCAATACTACCTCCTCCTTGCCTGGACAGTTTTATGTTAAGATCAAGTCTGGACAGGAAGAAAAAAAAAAAAAAACTTTTAAAGTACTCACTTCTGAACCTGTGGGAGCACATGTAGATGGCCCAGAGCTTCGTTTTTTGTTGTCATTGATGTTTTTCCATGAAGCAGCCTTTCATTTTACCTAAAAAATACCAAGGGATTAAAGATTACTCCTGCCCCTCCCCCACATGTTCAGGATGCATTTGATGTTTATACCCTGTTCTGTGCCCTGGTCTTTTTCATAATATTGGGGATCACTGAGGTCTGGCCAGGACTCTGGGAATCCTCAGAGGACAAACCTCTGACTATGACTATGGTTTAGCTGGAGATTAGATTTTGAAGTGAAATTTGGTGTGGTCTGTTGTGATTGCTCATTATCTAGCAACATCTCCAGAGAAGACATTTGCCGATCCCCAAATCATATAAATTTGTTCACTCAGGGATTTTGGAAAGAAGTAAAGATCTTGATTGAGCATGCTAAGATTGGAGATACTGGAGTCACATCCCATAAGTGATCTCAGAAACCTCCAGGACAGGTGATCTTAAGCAGCAGGGGGCTTACAGATTTGGAGGTGAAGCACCAGGCTGGGGACTAAGTTCTGTCACTAATTAGACATCTCTCCAGGCTGGGATTTCCCTACCCAAAAGTGAAAGGATCTCAGAATCGCATTCCAGCTCCACCACCTAAGATTCTACTGTATCCCCTTCCTCAGTGCTCATAGGCCTCAATTGGAGCATGCCTTGGCATACACCTATTGAGCTCCTGTTTATTATCTTTGTGGAATGGCTAACTCAAAGGCATAAAGGACATTGAGTGTTTTGTTTTGGCCAAGATCATTCAAGACATTGGCTTAGCCTGCACAGTATGCTGTGTGCAGGGCTGGAAGGGGTTAGGTTTTTGGCTTTCTGGTACACCAGGTGTTAATGATTCAGCTTCTGCTCAAATATCTTTCGGTGTCAGTGTTTCTAAGATAAGCATCCACCTTTTAGATGATTGATGATTATGGTAATGATGACGATAGTGAATATTTGAGTACTTACTGGATACCAGGCATTATTATAAATATTATATGGCATTATCTCAATGCCTTTCAAATAATCCCATTTACAGGTGGGCATACTGAAGTGATGTGAGGTTAAGTGATATATCCATAGTCTCACAACTAAATATCCATATGCTGTCTTTCTCTCCTGAAATCTGCCAGCTGGTTCTGCTTTCTATATTCTGTGATGTCATCCAGATGGGAACTGCTTCGATAGCCTTCTGCAAAGGTTGTCACCCCACAGAGTAACCTGCTCCACCAAAGGTTCTTTTTCATGTGCAAGACAAATGTTTAGGTTTTCTAGCCACCTGCTGGCAAGCATGTGTCAGATCTGTCTTAGCTTCCATCAGCCCCCCCCCCCCAGGCCCCTTTACTTCCCCTTCTGTTGACAAGGGATTTGCCCTTCCAGAATGTGGGTATTGATTTAAGCCACAATTGCCTCCTTGTAAACTCTATAAGATGGGAGCTGAACATCTGGTTTTGATCCACACGCCCACAAGAGGTGGTAGGTCCTAGCATTCTTGAGCCCTGGGATGAAGATCGCATAGGATCTAAATACAAGAGAATGTGAATGGAGAGAGAGAGAATTCAGAAAATGGTTTCCTTGATAGGCTAGGGAACACACACCATTTAGACTGGGGCCAAAGTTAAGTTGACTTCTAACTGGGTGGTTTCAGGACAGGGATTGCTGCAAAGGACTGAGGTTCCTAGGTTATGTTTGATGCAGATCAGAGCAGCTGTAGAATCCTCCAGCCCTGGTGTTTGCTCTGCATGCTACTTTCTAGGTAGTACCAGAAGTAGGGAAACCAAAGGGGTTCTTGGGGTGGGCATTGCTTTCTTCAGTGAGAATGACTGAAGTTCTTGTTATTTATTCCTGGACTAATATCCCTACTAACACTACCACATACATCAAGACAAGTAATGAGAGATGATTGTGTTCTTCTGCTTAACATATTTGCATTGGGCAAATAACTATGCAACACTAATTTAACAATTATTAGATTTTTAGATTGTAGATGATCAAAAAAATTTTACTTTGTTTAAAAATTTGACATCTAGGGTGACACTTTTCTTCTTCCCTTTGACTTAAAACCTTGGTTTTTGTTTGTTTGTTTGTGTTAAATGATAGCCACATTCTGGCCATTTCCCACACCTCCCTCTCTGCTAGTTTTAAGCCCCCAGTATTTAAAAATATTCTCCCCCTCTGGCTCCAAGTGTTCCCTTGGGGACTATGTTTGAAGTTCTCCATCTGGGATCAGTTCCATTCTGTGCCTCACGGACCTGCTCCTGATGCTTCACAAGGTCCTTACACAGAATTCAAGAGGAAGACACAGCTCTGAAATGCACCTGATTTCACAACACGTGTGTCCCATGGGTGGGAAGATGCCCAGGCCACTTGACACCCAGATGATTTGCTTCATCACATTCCCCACTACAGAGGACTCAGAGTAGCTGTGTGACTCTGAGAGGATCACTTTCCTTCCATGGGCCTCCATCCAAAAGAGTTGGATTCACTAACTGGTCAAAAGGACTCTGCCCATTGTGACCATCCAGAAGTCCTTATGCTGCTCCCTCCACCTCCATGCCCCATCCCTGGGATTTCCAGGTATTCCTGCTGGCCTGGAGGATTTGTGTACAGAAATGTGAAGAGAGTAGAGGAGGAAATGAAGTTATGTGATGCCAGATAAGTTATTGAACATATGGATGAGTGCATGTTTATAAAGTGCTGAAGAAACAAGCTTGCCAGGTTTGTGGCGGATCTTGGATGGGGAGCTGGGAGCATGGGGAGAAGTTTATGTGGGATAAAATTATGGGAAGCTGAATTCATAAGCTAGATCAGAAAGATCCCAAACTATGAGCAAGGAGACCAGATTCCACTTCTAACTCTACCAGAAACTGACGACAGTTGGGGGACATCCCTGAGGCACACACCACCTCCCACTTTCCTCTCCATTAAATAAGAACATTGAGTTACTGCCTTAGATGATTGCTGAAGTCTTTCTTGCCTTCTCATTAAATTATGAGAATCAAAGCCTTGTAGAAAAATCTGGATAGATAAGATGGAGAAGGCTCAAATAACTTACACGTAGAGAGAAATGTCCTGATTGCAAAATGATGGGAGTGGTCAAAATAGGTACCTATTCTTGAATTTAAGATGGCATTGGAGGATATGTTGTATATGCTTTGTTTGGAATGCTTATCCCTCTGCCTTCAGCAGTGATATTAGAATCATCTTTTTAAATCTTTGCTTAACCATTACTTTCCCTGGGAAGCCCCCCTGCACTCCCTCAGAGAACTGAGGGCTCCCTTCCCAGCCTCCCTGTGTTATACCACTTAGCATCCCTATTTTATTTGCATTCCTATCTTCTCAGTAGAATATGAGCTCTGCAAAGAAAGAGATCTGTTCTTTTCATCTTTTTGTCCCCCAACACTTGGGCTAGTGTCTGCCACAGAAATGTGTTGGGTGAATGAATATAGGAATGGCCAGTGAGTTCCTATTGTGCAGCAGTAATAGGACAGTCCCTAGAGATAGGGCTCAGAGAGGAGTGCACCCTGCCAAAGGATCAGAGCTGTTTTCTCTTGTGTCTCTCTTTTTGTCTGTTCCAAGGCTGAGGTCCTGAATGTTCACTGCCTGCTCTCAGGAAAAGCATGTTCTTACTCTTTTTTGAGCCCTCTCTCCCCCATGTCTTAGCCTGCCTAATTTTGCAAATTTGAACTCTTGGTCATGGGAGGAATCTGGTGTCATTGCACATGAATTAGAGTAATCCCTCTTTGGATACTCAGAAAACAGTTTAAAACATGTGTAAAGATGATTTAGCAAGTGTCCTTTTGGTGGCCCTGAGCTAGACATTGGAGAAGATGCAAAGATGAATGAGATGCTGGCCTCAAGGTCTAAGCTGGTAGACAGATAGGTCATGGGGAAAAGGTGAGCCCCATGCTGGTGGCTTTAGTGTTCTTGGATTTCCAGGGCCATCCCAGGGTTAGGGTAATGGATGCTCAGAGCCCATTGTACTGTAAGCCCTTGATTCCACTTAGGGAAAGTTTGGGGACAGATGTGTGGTATGGGGGACAGATGCTGGGCCTTGGAGGATGTGTAGGGGAACCAGCTGATGGGGCACTTTTCAGAAATGTCTTTGCTCATGATTGCAGTCAGCACAGGTGGGGGAGGGTGAGTCCACCTCCTGGCACTGCTGTTCCCTCCTGCCTCCCTGCAGAGTGTATGATCTCTGTGACCACTTCTGACACAGGGACAGACTGCCATCTACTGTCCACTTCTGTCCTCTGAGTCCCTCCTGCTCAGGGAGTTCCTTACCATTTTTTTTTCACATCCTGTTTTCACATCCAGACACCACAGAGAAATAGACATTAGGTCCTTATTTAGTAGTTTCATTATAATTTAGAAGGGAGACTTTAAAAAGCATACCATATCTGTTAGATGGTTTTCTTATCTGCTTAACAAAAGTTTTATTTCAAAGGGACCCCTGGACCTCTCCTGAGTCCTCACCATGTTAGGAACCATGTGATCTAGAATACTAAGAGGTGAAAGGCAAGACCCTACCTTGAGTGGCTTTGCAGTCTCTTTGGGAGTAAGGAGACAGAGACAGTTGGATGTAGCAACTGCATAATAGTATACTGTTAACCAGTGCAGATGAGTGACAGGGACCACAGTGGCTTTGGGAGTTTGGAGAAAGGTCTTGTAGGCTGGAGCGACTGGGAAAGACAAGTGTGGGCAGCCTGACCTAGGTCTGCATTTAGTAACCTCAGTGTTTGGGAAGAGGCTTCTGAAAGCTCTGTGATATCCTGCAACAGGTTCTGCACTGGGAGGGAGTAGGGGGACCTAGAGGGCCTGGGGTCTGGAGGCCTGGTGTTCCTCCTCTCCATAATGGGGTTGTTCTTGACCTCTAGGGCCCTCCCATCCCTGACCTTGCATCCTATTCATGCAGTTGGAGGTGCTTCCTGGTTTCCAGTTTGTCAGGGAGCAGGAGAGCCTTTTAGATCCCATACAGGGAGGACCCCTAGATGTACAGACCCTAGGATGACCACCCTGCATGCAGTGGGAGAGAGAGGACTCCCCAGGGGAATTTCAGGAGTTGTTCAA